CTTGATTTAGTGATCAGTACCTTGCGGAACATCCTTTCGCACACTTCGATTTGTTCAGTATTTTATTCTTCTTTTATAAGGGCGGAAGTGGTGTAGTGACAAGTGGCGCGCTCACCACGCGAGCGGTCCGGGGATCAAATCCTGGGTCGTGAGTCGCCCGGGCCAACCAAGCCTTCCATCCCTCCGGTCGGTTAATTGGTACCAGACTTGTCTGGGAGGATAAAAACACTGACTTGTACATCGGCTGGCCCCCGCAAGTCATTGTATAGGCCACATCGCATTCAAACGCCACTACGAATGTACAAATGGAAGTAGAATGCGTGCCGCATCCCAAAAAGGGATTGATCAACGGCAAAAGCTTTATCCTTATCCTTTATCTAAATAAGAACCTTTTACGACCCGCCTTTTAGTTCCAAATATTTTCGAGTGTTTGAATGTTTCTCAGTGTTCTTTAATGTCTTATGGGGTTTTCGATTGATTGTTTACAAGCGTCGTCCATCTCTCACGATTAAACAGCCATGTGGGACACGCGTGACCATCTCAATCAAGGGCTTGTGGCATGGGTCATTCATGCTGACCGCGCTTTCTAAAGCATCTCCATGTCCACAATCATTCAGCCGACCACTCCGTGTAAAAATTCTAGGGTTGATCATCCGCATCACTTCACGGATACTCCGGTACGATCATCCTCCCCATTGGGAGGACCGACTCTCCCGCATTATGGGGCCATAAAATGGACTTGATTAGTTCCACAGCTGTGCTTCTGTATCGGGTAGCGGTCAAAAGTTTTCTTCAAACCAACTGTTCCTTTATTAACCTAACCAGTTCCTTTCAAATATTGATTGTAGCTTCTCTAGACTTTTTCAGTCCTTGACTACCAAGGATTTAGACACTCGAATAGAAAAATGTTCAGTTTTTCTCCAATTCTTTGTGAGGGAAAATGTTATCCATAAAGAATCATCTCAAATAAGTTGTCATCTTTTTCATTTGTTATCATCCAAGTTCGAAGGAGCTTTTGGCCTCTATTTCAGGAGTAATCCTTCTCCAGGGTGTTGTGATGTCACCATTTTCACTTACTCTTTGTTTTGTCGTTCCAGAATGTCTCAATCCTTCTCATCTCACGGTAGGATCTCCTTAAAAATGCTGATTCGATTGATCGAAACGGTCCTCCACGCGTTCCGCAATCGGCTGTAACGAAATGGCGGAAAAGCGCTATAAACAGGTAAACGAAGGGTTAGGCAAATAACCTTTTAGTGCTTAATTGAACGCTCAAACATCAACACTTTCGAAACACTTCGCCGAATCTCTCTGGGTTTCCGCATAAACTAACATAGTTAACTTGGTCATACCGAGTAAAGGCCACAAGTTGTCCGCCGATTACTTAGTCATCTCCTCGTCAAATTCGGCCCCCAACGGTTTCCTTAAAAGGTCTCCGACTATAGGCAGTTGGATCACTGTTAAAGCACAGGGCCCTCCTTGCAATCTTTCCTGTTTTTTTTTTCTGATCTAGCGATTTCCCTCGTGATTTTTCCGAATTTTAAGAGCACTTTCAGAGCGTCAGAGCCAGACAAATGCTTTTAGTTGCGTATAAGGGTAGTGAGCACTGAAAAGTTGTGGATTGTCGATCACCAGCCATTTATCACCAATAGGGTTGCCCGTGCTCCGGAATGCCTTCGCCGTCCAAACTCCATTGCGAGATTGCTCCTTGAGCGAGAAATTTCTGAGCTGCCGATTTCCATGATATCCTTTATTTCTTCCCCTTGCGCCCTAGGAATATTTGTTTGTTATGCTATATGCCTTGACTTGTCTCCTCCTCTTGCAACCTAGACATGGTTGGCCGTTAAAGTGCTAGCTTGCTGAAGACATAAAGACGTAGAGCATTAAGCACTGAATAGTTTCTTTTCAAGATGAGCCGCGCATTCTTCTTCCTCACAATGTCCTTTTGGCATTTGGAAGCTGTGTGGCCTATCTTACGGGCAATTCTGACTCGTCGACCCTTGAGGCTCCAGAACACTTAGTTTGATTGAACGAGATCCTGGGATGCAACCTCAGGTGCGAGACGTTACCTGCCAGCTCACCAATTCCATACAGCATTGGAACAGTCCACCTTTCAGCGTCACCTTCTCAGGCCTGGAAGTGTTCAAAAACTGGGAAGGCGCACTAATCCAATTAGCGCCTTGTCTTGTCTAGCGGTTCCAACGTTGTATCAGAAGTCTCACTCACAGAGAAATCTGAAGAAAATAAAGGGGGATCTTACCTGTGTGAGCGCAGCACATACCCTAGGAATCAATCCGGGTCACATTTGAGGTAAAAGTTCCGCGTACCGAGGGTCTGTGCTAGTTGTACCACTCCTGCAATCACTATGTTGTACGTCACTGGCCCATGCGATTCACTGTTTCTACCAGATATGCATTGGCAAGCTGTTTCAATCCTAAGTGGACGTCAAATGCGTGGCGCATTCCAAGGAAAGAACGCCAAAGTAATCACTGACTCTTGACGTTTCCCTAAATCCTTGCTTATATTGATTTCTGGCTCGTCATTTATCTTTTTCGGCTATTCTTTTAGTGAAAAACACATGATGCGGTCGAGACCTTGGCGCGGGTCACGTTCCAGTACTAGCCATAAACTTGGCTATAATAGCCGGCCTAGATTTGTTCGAGACGGACAGCCACTTCCGTTGGTCGATCGCCGGCGCGCGTCCACTGGCTCTTATTGTTAGCACGTAAGCGTTCTGAAGAAATACCCTCACATTACACAAGGCAGTTATTTTGTGATTTTCTTACTGTTTTTCCGCGTCAACTGACGGACCATCTATCTAGCAGGCCATGTAGCATGCATGCATATGTATTCTCGGTGGAAGATTTGCTGCGAAATTTTTCTGCTTTACCGCATTACTTTTTTGATAGTAAATACGTTTATTACGTACTATAAAGAGTTATATGTAGGACAATAATAAGTATAACATGACCTGCTGGTGCTGAGAATAGCATAAGAACATGCTTGTTATACAACAATCAAGCGCACTGATGAATATAGCAAGCTTTGATAAATCAGCCTAACAGAAAATTAGACCGCTTTGAAGGCACAGCCAGGTTGACCAGTCCTTTACCCGGGATTAGGTGGGTGTGTAGAATCTGTTCATGCAGAATTGCTGTTTGGCAAATAGGGTCACTACTATAAAATCGCCAAAAAAGCGTAATGGGCCTTATCATTGCTTAGGACTGAGAGTATTGCCCAAGACCTTACCCACGCTCGCTAACAATCGCATACAGCAACGCCATTAGAGGGTGGGAGCATTGTAAACTGGCTTATCTGTTGTTTGTTCGCTCGAGCACTATGGGTCAATATATCTGTATGAAGTATCGTTACGAACAAGTGCTACAAGCTTGTGATTGGCCGTCACTATTTACACCGTTTGTAAAGAACACAGCTTTCTCGCAAACTCGTACGGATTACAAGCAACCTCCAACTTCAGTGCCACTATGTAGGCTGGAAAGAGTCCAGTTCACTGGCTTACCTTTGAGAAGGTCCTTCTGCTATTTCCCGCAAGCTCTGGATCGCTTCGAACATTTGCTTTCTGTTATGCAAGTAGTCACACCACTTTTAACATAATAGCGGCGTGCCCTAAGACGCTTTCAGTAGGACTAAATGGGCTACTGGACGGGCGAAAATAGTAATCGCGATTAGAAAATAATGAAAGAAATAAATTGTATTCTGAACTCGAAAATATCCCCTCGGTTGTCCTGAAGTGAGAAAGTTGAGCGAACTTGATTTCTTTATTTTTTTATAATTGACTATTTTAATTTAATTGAGATTTTTGTCACGATAATGTTCAAATTGAACATACAAAAAATCATAGAGAGAGATATAGAAACGTGTTTTACTTTACGAGAAATGTTTCACGCGATAAGGGATTACAGTGAAAAAGTGAATATAAAATATAATAAAAACTCAGAGTATTAGAATCTTATGTCCTCGCACTTGATACGAGAATAGTAACTGATTCATAAGTCATCGAAGCATACGGTACGAGCTTAAATTGTATTTTTACCTAGATACGATAGCGTTGCGATATGTTTATAGGATAAATAGGCCGAGGTAGATGCGATCGTTATCTTCTTCTGATTGGGATATTTGGTGTACCGATGGGAAATGGTAGTTGGCGTGACAAGACAACAGTACTCAAGCCATCTTCATAAAACTTCTCTAGTCTTACCACCCTAGTAGAGATGAGTGACCGCTGGTGATGGCCGTGCACGAGAAGTGCAAAGTTTGCAGCATGCGGCTAATCTTGACTTACGAAAGTGATTAAATCAACCAAAGACCCCCACTGTAAGACAAAATTTTCTAGGGCGAAACGTACAGTTTGCCCTTTTTTTTTTCAATACCTCCCGAATGGGAGAGACTAGCCTCGATCTTGCCGTATCTAGATATGATGCGATCCAACGCTCCCGCCATTCAACACCTTCACGACAAGCTTTATAACCTGGCTTTTAATGATGGTACCTTAATAAGAATGTGCATACCTATTTTCCTTTATTAAAACTCCTAGAGCTAGCTTCACAAAAAGAAAATGTTGAATTTTTTGAATTTTTCAACGACTTTTAGGCACAGTAAACTTTCAATAGGTGTTGTTTTCAGTGTGAGACTTACATTAGATTATCTGTAGATTGCTCCGATGGAATGATTAAGTGTTTCTCATGATATCAGAAGCAACGGTAGCCTTTAATGTCCCCTTATAGGCTATAAATTACTAACAAGAGTCAGAGTCAAGGAGAAGTAGAGAAGAGTTGGCCAGTGATCTTGGAATCATTTGTTTGTTTGTTTGTTATTATTCGTTAGCGTTCAATACACTGAATGAGGAATCAGTTATGCTTATGATACTTACATATATTTTAACTTTTATTATACATGGTGGGAAATGTAATTCTAGGGGATGGGGTGGCTCATACGTATCTAATCAACATCAGAGCAGGCTATGCCCCCGAGTGTGCGGTTATATAGGGATACCAATTCAAAGGTCGTGTGAAATCCTATTTTTTTCCAAGAGGTCTTGCAAAGAAGATTCGTGGAAGTGAAGAATCAGCGAAGGTAGCTGGCCATTTTGCTATACACAGATTATACAATCAAGAGTAAAAAGTGTGACGTGAGCGGCCTCCGTGTAGGACGCCGTCCCAGTAGACGATATGGTGATTATGTTTGAAGATATGAGCGTCTTTCCGCAATTCCATCAATTAAATATGAGTGGCCCCACGAACTACATTTTCACCTTATACGGAGAGGATCATATTAGTGTTACTTTATTCAACTACAGATTAGTCCCGGGTATAAGCGTCAAACCGCACGGGGATGAAACAACCTTCCTTTCCTGCGCAAGCTTTCTATCCTCCGCTATGGTCCCTTCCTCCTGTGACACCAATGTGACACCAAACCTCCTGGAAGTGACGCGTATGCAACACAATGGTGTTTCATACAGTAGAAGGGACACAATCATGATATGACGGTAGATTTTTCGCTTCCCTTCCTCATCCTCCCTTCCTCTCTCCACTGCCCTCCAGCTGCCACTGCAGCACCATGTGGAATGAACGGAAGTGTGCTAAGCAGGTGTTTATATAGCCCTAAGAGTGTTATCACAACTATCCTGCTACAAAACATTGATATCTCAAATCCTGTAAGCTACCCGATTTGTTAGCGGTTTGTTTATCCCATGAGCTTCCTTCTCACTCACTTCATTTTGCGGACGGACACACATACATACATACACACACACGCACACACACACATACAGATACACAAACCGACACACAAAGTTAGCGCTTTATAAAATAGAAGGATATTTTATGGTGGAGGGCAACAAATCCAGAATTCGCATGCGCTCCACATCAATCAAGTACGAGTTAGTGCTGAAGTGCAGAAGTTAGTGCTCATAAATTTTGTAGTAAACCTAAATGTTTTTCCCGGCTCAAAGGTAACTATGGCAACAAAGTTATGTATTTTTCAAGGTTTCGGATCGCTACTCTACCAGGTAAATATAATGAATGGTGCAATCAGATCCTCCAGGAATGATTGTAGTGTTCTTGGTCGTTGACTCTTTCGGCCGACCGACGAAAATCCTAATAATGTCAGTCATTTTACTGGCACTGTCATTGATTGATCTTTGGACGCCACAGCAATTTTTTGTCGCACGCCTCAAGTGTAAGGCTCCAAAAGAAAAACGGCTTCACCCACTCGAAGCAACAATATCTAGCCGAGGATCGTATTTATGTTAATAGTGACCAAAAGAGCGAAATTCATTTGTTTACAAAGCTCAAAAAACATTGTGACAGCATGGGCATATGCTGCTTCCGCATAATGCTCTGTAAGAATATTATCAAAACACTAAGAACAGTATTTTAAGAAGAATTCGTTGGGTTAATTTAGGTTATTTCTGCTGTTTTTTTTTATTTTTTAGAATCTTTTTTTACGATTAAACTTCACTCTACTCTTATACCACACTTTGGTTCCTTTATCTGCTCGGATAGCCAATTCCATCTTATAAGGGAATACGAAATAGGCTCTCTGCAGAAGATGTCATCCCTCAGTTACTAAAGCGACCCTATGGGTACCTACAGGATACTATAAGTTTGTTTCTTTCTTCAAAGGCACACCCTACCTAGATTCGAGAACCTACTTTTCGGTGTGTAAGCCAGAAGTTCAGAGGCAAGGTCGGGCTCAGCCTCACTGAAGGGGGGTAGGCCGCCGCATCCCAACGGAGAGGTGTGGTTCCAACTATGACTGCAGAGGTCGGTCACTTTGCAATCACATCATGGAATGATCCGGACTGCCCTTATGAAGAACGCCATGCACTAGAACATGTGACCTAAAACGTCGCCACCAGAACTATCAGGATCCGCCCACCGCTCGATATCTTACCTGCGTCGCGATGTTGATCCGCTATGTTCTCTCTTCGGACTTCTACCCTTTCCGCGACCCACATTATCTCTCATCTCCATGCCTACTCTTGAATTTTCCGCAGCGCAGAAAAACATTTCTTCCACTTTTCTCCACTTGCAGTTCACCTCCCACCTCTACTTTATCCTGATCCTTGCCTTCAAAGGTTGGGAAAGTGTCTCGTGGTATGAAGTGAGCGGAATGAGCCCTGTCGTGACCACGATGACTGTAGTCTTTCTCGCTTATAACGACTTTGCATTCCCGCAAAAGCTACGACTCCCGTCCCCCTCCCTATCTTTCTATCCTCAGCCTCTTCAATCTCTGAACACTCGCTTTTTCCTTTTCAATTCCTCCAGAGCAAGGTGGAAAGAGGGCTCTTATTTTGTAATATTTAGACTGATTCTTCTCCTTCTTCATTACTGGTGGCTCAAACTCGTAAACAAGCCCAACGCGATTACCCTTCTCCAGGGCTTCAGAAAGTCCGGCTACTGCACTTTGCTGATTACTTTATGCGAACAAACGTATTCGCCCATGACCCCAGACGAGCAGACGCAAGACTCAAGCGAAGGGATTCAGTAAGGAGTCATCAAACAAATATCGGGCCATAAATCACGACAAAAGGCGTTGGTTGGTAAGCTATTAGCACAATCCACATGTATGTTAATCTCCCGAGTGATGCATGGATTTCAATCTCATTTGTGCGAGCTCGCTCCCTATCACCTTCCATATTTGTGGTTTAGAGTATGTAGTGATGACCAAAGACTGTCCTTGCAATCCTAACCGGTTTTGTTTTTCATTCACGTTGTTCCAAGCAGCTGTTACGAAATAATGATATTAAAACAAAGTCGGCTTTTCAACAGGAGAGAAAAGAATCAACATAGGAAAAGAATAGAAATGATTCAAGCGCTATGTAGACATCGAAAGACGATTTCCAAAACATTTGTTTTTTTCTGACATTAAAAATGACTATTGTCTTTTTGAACTTCTTCACAATAGCTTACAAAGGAGAAATCATCCAGGTATAAATTGACTGTAATGTGGCAATAGCCGGCAATCGCGCTGGTTCTACCATTTCTGCTTCGATTTTTCACTCCTTTGTTAAGGTGGCAATAGGCGCCCTATTGATGGCATAGGGCACGGATTGGAACCAGCTATCCGTCTTTCTTGGTTCCAGCCATCTCTTTCTGGAGGTGTTAGAAACATCTGAATGTTGGATGGCTTCCGAAAATCACTATGAAGCAAATTAGGAAGGAAGGGGGCAGTCAAAATCCTCCCCGTTCTGAATGGGATATGAATGCGTGGCTTCTAACACCGCGCTTCACTCAGACTGATTGTATTTCATAAGCTCTTATCTTGAATTGGGCTCCCTAGGGGCGTTCAGCCCAGTTAGCCGCTACTAACGAACTGCTTCAGAATGAGTTCACATGGGAACGTGGACAAAAGCGAGTATTCGCGACGCTTACTGGCCGGTTTTTTATGAACTCTATGTGGCAATACCAACGTTCACGGTGGCTAAATTTCGGATTTCGGTTTCGGGAACATTTCTGTTAATATTAGCATCGCAGGAGGCATGTGTTGTACAGATGTCACTTTAAGCGTGGATTCGGGATGAAGTCGGTTGTGTTGTCTAAACAAAATGCCAAACAAATGTTTAGGCCTTATGTTTAGGGCTCATATATAAGCAGGAACACTGATTCCACATAGGTCCCTATTGGTCGTAGTAGCTTATTTCCATATATATTTGTTCCTGACTATCAAAATTGTAAGGAGTCATTCTTGGAATGTTAATGAAGCAGCTTTAAGCGGGAACGCTCTTAATCCTGCTATCAGTCAAACTAAAGGTCGGACGTCTGAAGCTCAATTCCTCTTCCGCTTCTACTGCATGCATTTCCCTCTCGTGATAGCGTGGCATTTTGATGCATTTCTCTACGAAATGGTCCGAAATTTAGTATCTCATAAACTCTCTCCTGTGTACCATAAGCTTCTTCACATATACACCGCATTCAGGAACTCCTTCTGCCTCTCGCAAGGTGCAGTCTCCGGTCAAAAGGTGAATGCTCATTGGCCTCACATTTTCGGCATTATTATAGTTTCAGCCTCACTGGTGTCCTTACACCGAAGGAAAGCAATAGCTTTCTCATGCACACGATAAGCAGTAATTAGTTTGTAGACGTTTGAGTGCCAGATCGCAACAACTAAAGGTCCAAGCAAAGCCATATGAGTGTTCCCTCTCTGTGTCAAGCCGAATGGTCAGTCTACATTGTTGTAAGTAATCGATGAATAGGGATAAAATGCAGGGTGATGATAAATCTTTCGGAGATAAGCAGCTTATGCTACGTCTCCTGGTGTTTTCAGACCATAGATCAGGCATCAGTTAGGTACCGCGGGAGGAAGTTGGGAGGAGTAGTTTGTATACGTGGGAGTGATAGGGCTGTACGTTTATAGTTAGTATTACTCGCATCTTTCTCTGCTCCTTCCAAGCTTTTAGACGTAAAAAAACGCGAATTTCAACGCGGCGCCCCACCCATACGGCGCAAGCCCACCCACTTGCTCAGTGTTCAAGGGCAACTCTAAAATCCCCCTCCTCTCCTCCGTCTAATTTCTCTCATGTATTAGGTCGTAACAACAGAAGGACAGACTGAGATAACGACCGGCAGACAGACAAACAGTCACACAAACAGACAGGCAAAGAGAGAGCGAGAGACACATAGATAGAAATACAGACAGGGAGAGAGACAGGCAGACATACAGAGACGGACAGACAGATCGACAGACAGACAGACAGCTTTTCGCCGACAACAGCTGTAAATCAACCCAGCCACCTATGCCTCATGATGTTTATTTCTCGATTGTTTACCACAAGTAATGTCAGATGAGATAATGGCCATGTTTGCGTTATTTGTGACTTCTAATAAGTTTCGTGCTTACCATCGCCTTCAACAAATAGGTACTTCGTATAACTTCGTATAATGTATTATTTTTTTATTAAAAAATTATCACGATCTTTAAAATTACATTTTCTCAGATGCTGAAAGTGGCAGTGCTTTGTGTCCTTGCTACTGTGGTTGTTGCTGGGGTGCTCACAGACGACGAGTAAGGTTTCATTTCAATTTCTATCAAAACAGACAACGCTGTTATTTATTTTTGACGCTCCTTAAAATTCTAAATTTTTACAAACTCAGTTTTCAACATGAGATTCTCTTTTGTTAAGGGTCCTTCAAGATGCGGCCTGCCATCATTCACCGATCGCTTGCCTTCAGATGCTCAGGAAAAAATCCAGAAGATCTGGAAAAATTACGAAGACGGCGAAGGATGTGACAAGCAACACCAGGCAACGAAGGAAATTGTGAGTTAGGACGCTTTCTGAGCGTTTCCTTTCTCGGAACATTTTGTGTTTTCGAAATCGCTAGGGTCAATTATGACATCGCTCCGGGTATGCACCTGCAACAGCGAAAATGTACCAAAAGTTGATAAAGATGAGGGTGACTCTGAGCAAGAAACCGACTCGCGGCAAGTGGGCGCTCTCCCCAAATGGTGGTGCTTGAAGGCAAGAGTCGGCTCAACCCTCACTGAGATATTTTCGTGAATAGGGTGCAGAGTCCGCCGCTTGGCAGTGGTCGCGCCATTGTCCGCCCGCTACGCACGGCACTTGACGCTAGCTCTTAGGAGTTGAATTATCGTCAGCCCGCATAAGAATCAGTGGCTCTCCCACTCTTGATGCCTCTGTGTCGCGTTGTTGACCAGTAGCGCTCTCGCGATTCGGAGTTTCTTCCTGTTCGCGATTCATATCTGTTTTCTCGCTGTCTGCCTCTTAGGCCGATGTCAAGTGCGACTCTGCGACATCGACGAATTTCGCTAGCGTCGCGCCACCGAATCGTCTATCGGCCGTACCAACACGCAACCGCGGACCGCTAGTGATCGCTTGATTCGCAAGTATGACATCGGGGCCCTTTTAGACCCGCTTTTTTTTTCCTTCTCAGCGTAGAACAAAGAGGTTACTATTTTCTGTGTATTTGTTGACAATTTGCTTTCTTTCTTCCCCACTTGCGGTCTAGTTCTTCACATCACTACTTTCTATTCAAATGGGATTTTCACACCGTATAGTCCTCAACCACCTTCAATATAAATGTTAACAAATGGATTTCCACGACCCCTAAAGAACTGCGAAAATTGGGCTGGGTAAACGATGACCATAATGTGCTAAGCGTGGGCGAAAACGGACGGCGCTCCCACATGGGTGCGTTGCGTGCTTACAGTTTGATTTGTGTTACAATGAAGCTTCACAGCTGGGTTCCAGTGTTTCGAATGACAATAGAATTGTGGTAAATTTGAATATCAACTATGAATGCAGTTGAAGGCACAAATGAGTTCAACTCCTGACATCAAAGAAATGATGGAGAACACCAAATGAAAGGTTAAACATTTATGCTTTTTTGACATAAAGAATGTTGCCCTCATATTTCATATCATTTTCAAGCGTATCGACGGAGATCCTGAACTTCTGCAAAACCACTCATAATATAGAAGTTGAAAGTATTTATCGTAGATTTTTGAGATGTGCCATGTACTCCAACTAAATTTGGGACCCGCCGTGGTGGGTGATACAATCTCGCATTTACAACTGGCTTGCAAAAGTCAGCTGATGGACGTGAAAGTGTCCTTCCAGCTTCAACCAATACCTGGTAAAGAGCTTGATTAGCCCAAATGGGCCTGGGTTCAATTATGGTGTTTGCATGGCGAGGTAGCTCCTCTTGCTGCTGCTATGGATTGGTGACCAAATTTTTCTTCTAGTCACCTGAAAATGTGCTCATTACAGCTTGATGCACTACCGGAAGATGTGCGGTCAAAAGCAATGCGCTCAAAAGGACCAGCTTTCCTCAGAGACGTCACCGACGATGTGCGAGCACAGTTCGACAACCTTTGGAAGGACCATTCGATTCCACGAGAAGAAAAACCGGAGAAGTTCAAGGAACTGGCGTCAAAGGTAGTTTCCTTTATTTTCTTTTTTGCCTCAAACATCTCTTATTTTTAATTTCATCAAGCACGATTCAATGGAAAAGAGTTAATGGAGGGTCACCAAACAAACATGCTCCAAAAAAACTGACGTTGCTGGGCAAAAAGCGGAGATTCGTGGTCGTTCTCTGGTTTTGAGATTGAACTCCCATATCGAACTCAACAAGGATGTTTCTCATTGTGTGAGCTCACCGTGGCGAACCAGAACCACTTTGGTTAGATGAGTTCCCCAGCGCGTTGATAAAACTCACATCACCATTGCTTCCGATAATCGATATGTAGTGCGATAGAAATCAAGCACTTCTAATCAAATCGCTTCTTTCTCTACATTTTGTTACTTGAAAACAAATGTCAGGAACAAATGGGTGGTAAGTGTGTTCAAAAATTAAGTTTGGATAAAGGCTGAAGACCTGAAAAAGAAAACGAAAGCGAAAGAAACACCCCCTGCGCTCCTAACAAGGCCCCTTTCTTTTAGCAGCGGTCCACCTTGGGATGGAGAAAGAGCGTGTCCGGACGAGTTTTTTCTCAAAATAATCGCATTAATCACTGTCTTTTGATCTTATACTTATCTTGAAGTGTTAGTGGCCGCTACATCATAAATAACATTGTGTAGCAGCGGCCATTATCTCTAAACCATACAACAACCACGGTAGGAAGACGGGGGGGGGGGGGGAGTTTGCGATAATTGCAAGTCTGCAACATAGCGCCCTAACCGCGCATATTGTGCGACGAAGGTGGCATGATCTCTCAGATCTTTCAAAAGGGCCTACCACGGAATTGGGCTAACTAGTAGTTCACTCACCATTGCGCGGTTTCTGCTAGCGAGCCTAATCCCGGGGTTTCGCCTGTAAAGAAGATGAGATGTTGTAGATTCGATATTGGAAGACCTAGGGTTCCGAAACTATGATGGGCTCGACCTTATTACTGCTTCACCTTTTAAGTAGATATCTTAGCCTCATGTTAACTGGTAAATAAATAAATAATTGAAAGTGCTGAAATCTTCCGTAATAAACCCTTACATTTCAGCTACTGAATGCAGAACAGCTCAAAGAGTTCAACAAATTCCATGCTGCCCTTCAGCGGCGAAGAGAGGAATTCCAAAAGAAGGTAATTTTCAGAGATCATAAGCTTACACGGTGTTTCCATATCTATGCTCCATCTAGGTAGAACAAGCTAACACCAGAAGCACGTGCTGCTCATGAAAAACTCACGAAACTTCGAGAGGAAAGACATAAGGTAAGGAGAAATAAGAAGCCACCCAAGTTTTCATATTAAATTATACATACAAGACTTGATTGTGCCGGATTTGTCCTCCCCTAACTGGCAGGACTTCCCTTTTCCTTGCGTGATCTGGACTTCTTTCTCTAAGCTCCCTTCCATTTGGGCTATAAACACGTCATGGAGCGGATGCATATGCATAAAAAAG